CCTCTTAAGTTATTTTTAGACATAGTACCCAGTTTTTCCGCGGAATATAATAAGAGGGATTACCCTGAGTATGAGGCCTATCTGGGGGATTCGCTCTCTTACCTTAATCTTCTCTTACCCTGGAACGAAAAGAAATATTTGAAAATAGTAAACAGCATTTTTCTTTTCGTATACACTATTTTTTTGTTGTTGTTGTTTTTTTTTTTTTTTTTTTTTTTTTTTTTTTTTTTTGCTTCCTTTTCTTTTTCTTTTTCTTTATATGTAATAGAAGGCCGAAGCTTAATAAATAAATAAATTCGCTCTTGGTTGCTAGCAGCAGTGTTCACAGTCTAAAGCCAATTTTGTGTCTGAAGAAATAAAAAACTCATTAGTGAAGACGCTAGTCACTGCAGAGTCTCTTACGTTTCCCAAAAAAAATTGTGTTTTTTAATTTTCAATCTAGAGGAATCCCTGTCAGCTTCACTTACATTAAATGCCGTTTAAATTAGTGGTGAATAAATGGTAAATGATTCTGATCCTCGGAGTAATGGACTATATACATAGCTGATACGCAAATTAGTTTACAGACAGGCGCCAATCGGTTGCAAATCTCACTACCCTGGGACTAAAAAGAAAATTTTTTTACTATTCATTTTAGTGATATGTGTTTCTGGTTTTTGTGATAAGGGTGAGTAGATATGGTCTACAAAATAAACAACAAATTGGCAGAGATAAAAATTTAACAAAGCTTCATCAATAGACAGGAATTGTACTCTTACCCTTGGCTGTGACATCGACATTCAGTTTTTCTTGGTAGCGTTTGGTTCCACCAAAGATCTTAGCTGATTTCGACACAGAACACACCTGGCGTGGTTCGTAGCAGATCTGGTCGGGGACTGCTTTGCCGTCTTCGTATGTTAGCTTTAAAATCTTCCTAGTGATTTCAAGTCCCGGATCAACACCACCCATCTCGGTTTTCCCCTCGGGGTTTCCCCTGAGTAAGTTGTACTTCACGCCAATGAACCCCAGACCTTTTGGATTTTTGTTCCTTTGACAGTGAGAACCCGAGGGATCTGGGACAGGGTCAAGCAATGGCTCCTCCCCTGACGTTTCGCGGTTGTCAAACTGTGGCGCAAGTCCACAGGAATACCACGGACACAAAACAGCGAAAAGCAATAAGCCCAATAACGTCTTCGACATTGGTGTCATTTTTTCGTATACCTATGTAAGGAAAAAAGATTTCAAAAAAGTAATTAATTGATCGTGATTTTGAAGTGAACGTTAAAAATATTACACGGATGTTAATTCCAATTTTAATTAAAATTAAAAGACTTTCCACTAAACGTGGTTGACTCATCATATCAGGAGGTATGCAATTTCTTCGAAATTACCACGCAAGGAATGAAAGGTGCTACCTGTTACAAAGAAACCACCTCGACCTTTTACCGTAAAACATTGTTTACTTAAAACTCTTCTTTTAGTTGAATAAAAGTAAAATACGTAAAACGGCATCAAGACCATTCCATCTAAAACTGAAATTCCAAAAAGATATCTGTTGGTCAGCCACTAGACTCGTTCTACTCATTAGAATGATAGCCCATAGTCACCAAATCGATTAGGGTTTATTTTCAAGACTAAAAATTTTCCATCATGGATATAGTAATTTCAAACTGTATTAGTTTCGACAAAATTGTGGGCAAATGCCCTTACTGTAAGGAAAAAGAAGAGATGTAGACAAAATTGTTCAAAGATCTGTGTCACTCTAACCTAGAAGAGTTAGCTTCTCGTGGCAATTAATTCCATTTAGAAAAACAGCAAAATTACAGTATTTTGGTAGGTAAGCTAGTTGCACTAATATTTACTTAAATTGAGCATCGATACTTTTATCCGTGAAAGTGTGTTCAGTACAGTAATTTGTTTACTATAGTGAACAACAACAAAAGTAAATCGTCTTTACAGGGATTAAAAGGGTGATGCTATTCTTCTCGACACTATGGTGACTTTTAACCTGAGGTTGCAATATTCGTGTGCGAAATAATTAAATTGTGAAGGAGCAGTTTTGTTTTGTTTTTTCTTCTCATTATCATAACACAAACCGCTTACACTACGACACTCTTCACCTGATTTACTGTCAACTCTTAAAAACATTATGTTTTAACTTCCGTTAGTTTTTTCTCAGATACGGTCTAATAAGATATTTAAAGGGCTGAAATATTCAGTGTTACAAATGCAAATCATAGTCTAGTCAGATGTAAGAGAAATTTCGAAAAAAGTAGAAGTTAAGTAAGTACCTTCGCATTCCAGCAGATGCTTCTCCGAGTGAAATTTTCCAGCAACAAAGGTCAGATTTACAAGCAAAAGAATTGATTTCTTAATGATTCAAGTATGCATACATTTACATATTTTGTGACATTTGTTTCAAACAAGATAAATAAACAGGTTGCGTGAGGAAAGGTATTTGTTTTATCTTCAGTCAAGTGCAAACAACGTACAGAGAAAAAATATCCAGTAAAGGCATATGAACCTAATTGTTTAAAGCAACTCACTGTTTAACCTCATATTTGCTTTTATAAAAGACAAATCGCCATTTTTAAAGTAAGGCACCATTTCCAAATTGCGCAGGTAAATTTCAAATTCTTTTCAATTTCTTTAAGTACGGGAATTTTTCTCCATTACATTTCTCGATGGTTTGTATTTGATACTTTGCTGCATTAACTAAAGGGAAATGCCTTGGAAATTCAATTTTTTCTTTCTAGTGAAATGAACCATCTTAAATACGACTGACCAAGGCGTAATTTCGTCAAAATGTTTCAAAAGTTCTTTTTCTTTCAATTCAAACGACTACAATCTTTTTGGTAATGATAAATTTGTAATGGTCTTGTCATCAAAGACCACACCTGGAACAAACCAAGCAGGTTATTTGTTTTGTGTTATCTTTGGAAGTTTTTATTTCAACGACGATGTTGGCTTTATTAGAATAAAGTATCGTAGTTGGTGTAACGTTGTTGTTCCAACAAAGAACTGTTCTGTTCATAAATAACAAAGTGGTTTACAACTCCGTTTAAAGATCTGTTGAACCTTGCAATTAATTTTATTATAAGAGCTTTTTATAAGATATCAGAATTACTTCTTACATTACATCTTCATACAGTATGATTAAAAGGACAGTTTTAAAATATAATCGATGCTAGCATCGATTTGCCAATTATTGCAAACTTTGTAATTATTACGAAAATTTTTAAACAAAACTCACAAACTCGTAAATAATTCATCATGTGAAACCAAAAGGAAGTCATAAGCGTGACTGTAGGCTGAATACCCAATCTTATGTAACACAAATTTTTATGATTTTATTTCTCCGTTTACTCCTAAATCTTAGTTTCGACTGACATGGTATGTCAAATACGGCACGGCTTTATCACATCACAAGTGGTCTCGTCAAAAATACTTCACAGAGAAATACTCCACCCAACAATAATCCACTCAAGCTGTCATGAGCTGCGTCAGCCACTCCTTCGCAAGATGATGGGCGCTTACCATTTGCATGAAAAACCAGTTTATCCGGTGGGCAACCAAATGAGACGGGCCTTTCCACTGAACATGTTTCGGAAATAATGGAATATTTTTAGAGGTATTCCTCTGTGCTCGTTTTTACCGGAAGAATCAGAAAATTGCTAAAACATTTGGTTTTAACGCCATGCTCCTTGATGAAATACGCAGTCGCTCAGGTGGGAAATGAAATGGAACAGTCCTTTCCACTAGCAAGTTTTTAAATACAGTCATTTAGTAAACACTCATCCCGTCTCATTTTGTTTGTTGAAACTTTCTATTGTTCCATTTGGTGAAAATTCTCACTGGCTCTTTTTTCACGCAAATGGAAAGAGCTCGATGTTTGGACAGATCGGTCAAATTAGGTTTCAGGCTCCGCTCCTGTTCATGAACACGCTGAACAGTTTTTATGAACCTTCCAAATCCTTTAAGACACCTTCAGCCGGAATAATCACAAAAAAACAAAGAAACATTTTATTAACTTCGCAGGCTAGCGAGACAAAATTTAAACATTTGGGTGATCTACCGGTCTGACAGACCGTTTTGTTTCTGAATATTAAAGTCGCAAGTGTAGACAAATAGATTGTTTTTCATGTGTACTCGAAAACCAGTTTGACACTGCAACATTAATTTCCTTTCTCAGCGGGAAACTAGATGAGATTAATTCCTCGAAAATAATTTGAAAATGGTGGAGAACTAGAGGCCAGATAAACTCATACATCGAAAAATGTATTTGATATATTTAAAACCTTGATCTATGAGCTTTCTTGGCTTTCGTTTCATTTTTATTAGAAAAAAGTAATTTGCGTTATTGTACGACTTGCAGCCTACGTACTTGACAGCTGTCAAACACTTCTCATTAAAATAGTCACCACCTTTTGTCATATGCACATTTCGTTTACTTTCAACATCACAAACGCTTAAACCGTGTGTTTCTGGCAGCTTTGAAAAAGCATTTAGCGTTTTTAGACTGCGTCAATAGAGCGGCACAGTCGATATCTCGCGCAACGTCGTTTCAAGATAGATGTGTCTTCGAATCCTGGAATGGTGATTTTTTATCATTTTCCTGTAAAGAGCAGATGGCAATGAACGTGCCCGCCGTCATTGCATTAACAGCGATTGTTACAAGCCTCCTTGTTGCCTCATGCTTGTATATTTGCAAGAAACGATATGTGGAACCGCTCGAGGCAACGCAACAAACTGACGCTTTACAAAAATAAACAAGTTAAGCTATAATCGAGACCCGAAGCTTCTCAAGACTGCGTCTTTCACTGAAGAATGTCCATGGAACAAACATTTTTGCTGCCATCGCAATTTAACAAACTAGGGCTGTGTGGTTGAGTTTCGGTCAACATCCAATTGACGACTACATGAGACGGCTTGTGGCTTGAAAATACGTCGCGTCATTCAAGATTGTTTTGTTGGTTGTTATTGTTAATTATTTCTTGAGAATTACACAGTTTTCAGTTGTATATGGAAAGGACCAAAGTTATGGCATGGCTGCCGAAGAAAGCCCAATTCTCAGCTGGCCTTGTCCTGTCTATTTTTGCCCCAGTTTTGGATCTGTCTAGTGTCAGTTCAGTTCTACAGATGAGTGCATTAAAGCATTCAATACCAAAAAGAAACATAAAAAAATACACGGGTCAGTTCGCGCTGTTTTGCCGAGGGCGGTGAAAGAGGAACCAATAAATATACAGCACATACAGGTCTTTAATTTTTAGCCCGGCAACTTAATCGTTTTCCTTTAATTTAGCTCCTAAAAGTAATCGTTCAGTCTATATCTTTTAACAAAGAAATGGCAGGTGTATAATGAACGATTTACTCGCCTGTCAAAGGTCTTTATAACGAGGTTATACTGTCAGTATAAATTAAACTTAGGCTGTTTTCCGGTTCTGATCTCAACCAAGTTGTTTAAATTTATAATTTCGTGCAAAGATCTTATTCGCAGTCATTTCTCATTCGCCCATGTTTAATCTTAAAAAGATTTTGAATTTCCTAGAATGTTTCTAATTGCGATCATATCAGAGCAAACCAGCCTTAAGCTTGTGTTCTATTTATACCTTGGCATATCTTGTGCAATGTTAAAATAAATGTGTCAACCAAATGAAAGTCGTAGTTCAAGAGACGAAGCTTTCCGACGCAATACATTACGCGATAACACAACAAAAATCGCAACACGACACTACACAGTCCAGACAACGTAGCTGTGATGCACCACAATAGAACACAACTCGTACTGCTCAACAAGCATTAATTTAATTTATCCGTCTGAGACAACACAGCAAGTCTTGAAGGCGTGCTGACAGACTTCTCGACGCCATTTTCGTATCGAATCGTCACAGTCGCAGCATCCAGAGAGAACAGATAAGACCGGCTCAGCGTAAAGTCGCTCAATAAGCCTTTACACAAGCATATCGAGGCCACCAGTCCTCTATTCGCGTAGTCCGTGTTCCAGAGGCGAGGTTTCTTGCGCACCTCGGGCAGAATGGCTTTCAACACGTTCTTGCAAGCAGCACGATGTTCTCGGGATCTCCGCAACAGTTCGGGACGCCCGGCTCCTCGGCAATCTCCTTACGGCCACTCCGCGAACGGCTCTCGGCGGGCAATTTGTAATACGTTTGGTGACAGGACACGTGACCCTTCTGTTTACAACATTCGGTGGTCAGCACCTTGTCTGTTTTAGTGCCCTCTTCGAAGCAAATGACAAGAACTTCCGTGTCGACCTTCTGTCGTCGTTTTGCCGGGGGGTAGTCTTCCGAATCGTCGATGACAATGACATCCGAGGGACGCTCGGGTGCAGTTATAGGTACCCAGGGGCCCGTTTCTCGAAGGTCTCGAAATGTTTTCGCACCTTTAATGCCATAGCAAAATCTCGAACCTTATAACTGCAGAGCTGTTTCATTCACATATTCGTAATATGAACAGAAGTTCCCTTCATACAAGAAGTTTCAGGCGTATACACTTCTCCATTTTTAAATACAGAAAAACTGAAAATGGCCTTACGGGTCCGAAAAGTTTCTGGGGTTTTCGAGAAACCGGCCCCAGATCATCGCCGAATCGGTTAAACGCAGGCAAGACGGACATCGTTTCATGTCCTCTTTACGGATGCAATCTCGCCTGTACACGCGGCCGCCGAGATAGCTAGCAGCTCGCGACACTCACACAGCACTCTCTCCCGTTCATGGCTCGTTTCTCCATTCACTGATCGATATTTGGAGCGCTTGCCCCTTTTAACGCAACTTCTCATCGTTATTGACATCACAAGCTATTGTTCGTGGCATGGAGTACTTAAGTTCGATGTCGCGTCACAACCGTCCATCGTTGTTCATTTTTGCTCAGGGTGAGAACCGAGTCGTTTCCACTGTCACAAAGCCTCGGTCGTACCGCTTTAAAAAAGAGATTTCGGGCTTGGAACATCGTCCAGAGTTACATCACAGTCGACTATTGTTCGAGGCATGGAATAAAGCTCGACGTCGCCTCACAACTGTCTATCGATGTCTATTTTTGTTGCGCGTGAGAACCGAATCGTGTCCGCGCTCGTAAAACTTCGGTGATCCAGCTTGGGACATAGTCCAGAGCTAAATCACAGTCGACTACTCTTCAAGTCACGGAGTGAAGTTCCATAAACTCGTCAAAGCTTCGTCTGGGTTATGAAATAGAGGACCGTGACTGCACTCGATGTTGTCGGGAACAAATGTGCTTCGTTTCTTCCTTTGGTTCTTCAACGATTCAGTGGTATTTTTCAAGTGCTTGCCGCGACGAGTGTGCCTGTCCTGAGACTCTTCAGACATAGGCAACGCTCTCGGGTCGTCCAGGACATCACTTGAATCACGTGGCCAATTTTCCGACAAGAAATCAGGCGCCGAATCGACCAAACGGCGAGACGAGCGGATTGGTTAGAGCAGTAAGCCAAGGCAACTTCCATGTACTGTTTGACATAGTCTTTCGTCGTTGGATCCACGGTGGCACAGGCAGACTTCGTCCAATGGTCCACCTCGGGGGGTCCACCACGACAAAACCAAGAGTGAGAGGTCGCACTAGCCTGACAGACGTATCAATGCTCGCGCCCTGAAGCATCCTTTCCTGAGTTTTTCTAGCCGTTGCCTTCTCGAGTCGTATTCCGGAATACATCGAGTCCCAAGCACCAAGTGAGAGACAGCAGCAGCGAGACACGAAACCGTGTCTGGTGTCACGGGGTATATCGTGAGGTACGGCCCGCATTTCTCGAAACAGCAGACATACACATGGAAAACGACCGCTTGGCCTACAGCGAATTCCGTTTCCGAATCCAGCATACTTTCCCATTTCTCGCAGCTCTCGTTCACCAAAGAGTGTTGCTTGTCGTCTTCGAGGGGCGATACCAAATCCAGGCAGGCGGCCGCAGACCGGTCCACCGGTTGCCTGGCAATAGCGGCCAATACTTGCCTGTATTCCGCTATCTTTGCGCGATGACGAGCCTGGAGAATCTCGGTAACGACCTCGAGAAGTTTGAGGGGACCTCTTGCTTTATCCATTACGTAACACGAACCGGTTAACACCGAATCTATGTCTTAGACGCATTATTCGTCCCAAACTTATTCAGACGACTTACTCGTCCTTTAATAGTATAAGGTCAATGGCTCTTTGAGCTGTTTTGGTCGCCACAAAAGGCTTATTTTTTGCATTCGTGTTAGAGGTCACTCCCAAAACCTATAGATGCGTTAATCCCCCTCCTAATACCAATACATTTTCCATGCAGATAGGGATTAAGATCGAGTAAAGAGAATCATCAATTTTGAAATTAGCCTGAACATCACTCGGCTTGCCCTGAATAACGCTCCTGTTAGCCTGTTTACGGTTAGCGCTTCGTAACAGGATTCAGTTAAAAAGTCTTCATTTTACTCTGAGTCTGCATTTTACCCTCCGTCTGCAATCTGCAGTCCGCAGTTTGCGTTTTACACTGCATGACCGACAGCCCAAGCGGCCTAACACGCATTTTCCTCCTCCATTAAAACATCTACGCAATGTGCAAGGTAAAATTTTATCCGTGGGAGAACTGGGTACCACGTCTAAAAATAACAAAAGAGGATTATCTTGGGAATAAAACCTATACGGTGGATTCACTCCGTTACTCTTCATTCTCTCCTGTAGCAGTTAATACTCAGTGCCTGGGAGTAAAAAGGTTAACTAACTCAGCAACTTTAACCAACTTGGGGTTTTCTCCCGGAGGTTTTCTTTTTTTTTTTTACGAAATCGAAAACAGGAAACCCCTGACACCAGGGTAGGTACATTTCTACATCACAATAAAAGCTAGCTAATTCAATTCCTATATTGTAAAATTGCTCCCTTAAAATCGAAAGCTTATCAGAATTGTTACTAACAGTCACAATGAGAGAAAAAAGCAGAAATAGTCGAATATCGATGAGCCATCAAAATTTGACAAACTTGAAAATTTCAAGTCTATGCTAATTTGAAATCGTTCGGTGTCAGAAGGAGTCGATCTATTTCAGGGAAATGAGTTCTTAGTACATTCCATTTCCACCGCCCTCTACCTATTTTAGCTGCGCTGTCTTCGTTTTCTTCCCGTCACGCTGGTGGCTAAGCCAGTGCTAAAAACAGGAACAAACTGTCCAAATCACTTCCGTACATAATGCAATAGTGTACTCTTCTACGGCGAACGACAAGTTTACTTGCCACATACCTAATCGCAGTGATTCTTTTCCATAAATCGCTAACGCCAAGTCCAGCTCATTATTGACAAAAAGCTATTTTCATTACAACTAAGACGTTGTGAGTCACTTGAAGAAGTCGCTTATTCTTGGAGCAAGACTTTCTTCAGTACTGTAGCGCTGAAGGTGAAAGCTCATCGCTAACGTTCCATTTAAAGTGACTCAGTCTACGAATAACGAAGCGTTGTTTTTCCATCACTGACAACAAGCTTCATTGTATTACGGCCGGCTGAGCCATGTTATGATTCAATTGAAGAGGTCTCTGAATCGCTAGAGTCTGAATAAACACCAAGTCCTGGAATAACCGGTTTAGCCTGCTTTTCTTGATACTGTTCAGACTTTGTCTCATAGTTCACAGGAGTACCAGTTTTGCTTTTAAGAACTTCATCTTCTTCCGAAGTTGTGCTGGATTTCCCAGAAGGTACATTTTCCTGCGCATGAACTTCTGCCGTGCACACGTCTGTTTTATGGTCTAAACAGAATTAAACAATAAAAGGAAAAAATTAAACGTAATATGAACTCAGTCCCTTCTTCGAAAGAGTGAGAAAGGAATTGAAAGGGGCCCTTGAACGCTATTCAATTACAATGGAACCCCGCCTTACGGTCACCTCGTTATCACGGACAAATTTTCATGTCCCGTTGGTGAACGTACCAACGGGGTTCCACTGTACCATGTTACACACCGAAATAGCCCAAAGGTTTTTTTCTACTTTCTTTAGGCGGTGAAACTGCCATTTTCCAAGGAGGTCACCAAAAGTTTCAAACCTAAACTGGTAATCCAACAAACTTAACTCGCACTTTATTTCATCGTACTCTAGCAAGGCGTCAATCTGTTATCAACCTGCACGGCTATTTCGGTATAGCGTTTGGAGTTTCGCGTGACAATACGAATGGCGTGTTTTTCCAGTGTTACAAAAATGTCATTCAGTTCGACTTATGTTCAATTTTTTGATGTTGTGATATCTAAACAAACCAACATTAGAAGACTGATCTAGCTTCCTCGCTAAATATTGCCAATTAAATGTTATAATTTATTCAGCACGATTTATATTTGTTTTCTATTGTGTGTCGACTGTTTCAAGTTTTGTGGTTAGTTGAAAAAATTTCGTTAACGCCTGAATAGCGAGACCTTACGGACTCTGTTCTTGCTGTTGTTAATGGCTTACTTTTTGCATCCTCATCACACGTTTTCGACTTCTTTTCCAGTGAATTCTGACTGCTAGTGCTGCTATAAAGTGGCAAACAGGAGAAAATAGGATCAGATGCATAACTAATGCAGTTTTATCTATTCTTTCAGAAAATGAACCTCTTTCTACAAAATGAGCTCGCTCGCCCCCCACAATGAAGTTGAGGGGGGGGGGGGGGGGGGGGGGGCAAATGAGGCCAAATTCCTGCACTCCCAAAAGTATCGAGACAACACCAGAACCAAACAAGTCCAGTGGCTCAGAATGTAACCTAACTTTTTTTCTCAGTGCCCCCTTATAATTTGCAGGTACTTAAAGTTTGTAAAATGAAAATGCTATGTACAGCTGTTTCACATGAAAAAATGAAAACCATGGGTTTCACTTTTTGTCAAGCCTGAAAAACTCCTTATCAACAACACTACCCCCAAAAATGTCACCACAACATTTCTCACCAAAATAACGGCCTCTGATGGTAAATCTAAACCCAACAACTCACAATGCTATTATAACTCACTACCCCCCCTCCCTAATAATTCTTCCAAAAACAACCTGTACTCCATTCACGGTCACTCACTTATATCCCCATGCTATGCCGTACTAATAGTCATATGGTTCCTTCAGGCTCAACAAACTTTGTCATCAATCAGGATTGAAAACTTGATATGGTGGTGTTATGCATTAAGCAAAAGTGGCAGCTATTGATCAAGTGAGAAGAATGAACCTATGGTAGTTATCTACACATACCTTTTTCTTTTTATTGCTCCTGCTATAAGCTGCAACTGACTCTTTTTGGTCCCAGACTCCTGAGAGGGTTTTCTGTTTGATACTGCTGACCCTGGTGACTTGATGTTTGTGGGCACAGCTACTACTGTGCTCTGAAACTGAGAAACTGCATCCTTCGATCAAATAAGAAAATGTAAAAAAAATAGTTATCATTAATCTGTATGCAGTAACTTGTACATTATGTTTACTAAAATTATTTATGTAATAGACTAGTAGAAAGTTTCCAACACCAAGTAGGAGATAATCTGAACCTTATATCAATTCAATATATTGCAACTTTGCAAAGTTCCCTCAAATTTACAATGCTTGTCTTGTCTTAAGAGGATATATAAATATAACATGTAAATTAAAATAAATAAGTAACAAAAACACAAATAAATAGTACAAAAATTCAATAAGAAAATTTTAGTCACTTGCTTGACTCAACAACTGAATGACTGACTGGATAACTATCCAACCAAATCAACCAGCTGACCCATTAACCACTATCTCAGTGAGGGACTGACAGACCAACAGTCTGACAGATGGACTGACTGACTTAATCTGATTGAGTAACTGACTGACTGACTCACTCTGAGCGACTAACTGACTGACTGACAGACCGACAGGCAGGCTAACTGACTGACTGATCAACTAACTCTGGGGCGGATTTAGGGGAGGGGGGGGGTTGACAGGAGGTACGGTCGAACCCCCTAAATTAAAAGAGATGAGACATTGCAACACGTTGACTTGGACTCAGAATGCCGGAAATCCCATTTCCAAGGACCTGAGACTCCTTATCTTGAACCCCCTTGTCTAAAATCCTGTATCCGCCCCAGCTAATGGATTGACTGATGGCCTAACTGGTTGACTGATTTTGGCAGTCATGTTGGGGTAACATATAATATTAAATGTATTACTCGCCATACCCTATATTCTTTAATCTCTTGTGACTCTTCATTAAATCGTCTATTGGCAATTTCCTCTTGCTGCTTGGCAACTAAATCAAGAAACACTGTCTCATCGCCATCAAGGCCTCGTATCATGTTCTCTAAAAGAAGACAAAAATGTCAAAAAATCAGAAATAATTAAATTTACATTCAGATTACAAAACAATATCCCTGCATCAAATCTACACTGAAAAACAGAGTTATATTTATAAAATAATATGGAGCATAAAGAACTTACTTAGCTGATGCTGCTCATCCCATTCATCTTGCTTTTTCTGTTTCTGTTCCTGTAGTCTCTCATACAAGGTCTTATTGTCATGGACTTGTTCAGGACATTCTAACACAAAAAAGGTTTCATATTTACAAATATTTCAAAGGCATTCTTTTTTACATAATTTGTGTCAACCTAGAGCAACTGTTAAGTGACTGCGGTAAACCGAAGTTTAAGGAAATGGCAACAACAACAACAGATTGACTTAAATTTGCCAGTATCACGAAATTAATACACATATACTGATCGTTGAGTGCATGAAGCTAGTGCATGTGTACTGTCCTAATATCCAGTGCCCAGCACAGTTCAAAGACAGACTACAATGCATATGGCTTTAGGTTTGTATCTGACTGGGTAAGCTTTAGATGACAGGGGCTTAATTCAACCAATCATAGAGTATGGCAAAGAAAAAACCGGTTAACAGTCCAGATTACTATTGACAATCAACTTAGATACCAAGCTATCTTACTGGTTACTAAGTATTTTTATTCTTAACTTAGTCAAGTTAAGGTTGCAAACTACAGAAAATTAATGAACCAGAACAACAAGGACTCTCTGCAAATATCCGTCCACTGTAAATTATTTATTGTTTGTTTCAGCAATAATTTTGAATAAAATTATTGGACTTCTCTGACTAGAACAGATCAGCATGATCACTCTTCAAATTAGAATCCAAAAATTTAGTTATAATGTTTACTTTTATCTTGATCTGGAGAATACACTCTAGCTTGCTTACCTAATGGGTCATCTTCTTTTCTCACTTTTTCCCATTCTTCCTGTCTTTTTTGACGTATTTCGTCTATTTCTGTCTCTGAAACAAACGACACTCCACTCATCTTAGAAAGTGTTCCATCTATATTTGCTTTTAGATTTTCACTTTACAATGCAGGTCCCTTCGGTCTCTTCGTTTAAGCTCGAGAGTAGAGGGTCTTTGAGCCTGCGAGCATTAGTGACATGGATACAAAATGGCGGATAGAATTTTGCTGAACGCGACTAAAGGAAAGCCTAAATCCCTCAGTATTTGCAATAAGGAGTTGCGAAATGTTCCACCAATAATCGGAAAAATAACTACTCTAAAAACTGTGGACTTGAAGAACAATGTATTAACAGATCTACCTCCCGAATTTTCCTCACTTAAACAGGTGATAACTTCACGTTAGTCTGTTGACAGTTTCCACGGGCAAAAAAAATGACAATGGTTGGAGCCTTTTTGTGGTTTTAATGAATTTTAGGTTACTCTGGGAGCTTTAACTTACATTAAACTTTCTTTTAATGTTTTGTTTTACAAGCTTGAATCTCTGAACCTTGGAAACAACAAACTTGCAGTTCTTCCGGAAGTCCTCTCCTTCTTGTCTGGCTTGCAGAGGTTGCACTTGTTCAACAACAAATTAAGCGAACTTAATTCAGTTGTTCTCAGTAAGTATGCTTAACTAGAATAATTTAATTTTGTGCATTGCTGAGCACCAGAAGTAAATTAAATGTCAGTACTCCTGGATAATTGTATGCTCTGTAAACAGATGTCTCTAGTTGTTCAACACTTGATGTGAGTCAGGTCGTCAGTCAGATCTGTGATTCTTTGTAAGAGTTGTCATACATATGTGCATGTGTCTGGGGTGTCTGACGAACTCAAAAAATTTCAAATAGCAACCAGGGCATAGTGGTTACAGGTGAATGGGTTGGTACATTTTGCTGACCTACAGTGACGGGGATCAGCAAACAGCCTAAATGGACTGCAAATGGACTACAAAATGGACTACAAAATGGACTACTCATATGGACTACTTAAAAAAAAGAGAAATTCCAAAACAGGACTTTCTTCCAGACAATCATTGACTCATCTGGCTTTCTGGGTAGGGATTTTGACGCTTGGGTGCTGGCCCAGGGTTGGAAATTTGACATGGCTGTTATGGCCATTTCCTTAAGGTGGCTGAACACAGTTTTTGATACCTATGTTTCATTCACCTTTTTCTCTAAAACCCTTGATCCCTCGGTCGCCAAAATTGGCAGCAAGCAAGTTAAC